TCTCAAGTAACATGCCGCCTTGATAAGCTGCGAATTGGTGTCTCTAATTGTGTGTGTGTGTGTGTATAAGATTTATATTACTATTATATGTGATTAAAAACCTGTTATTTTCATGTTGTGGGGACCATTTTTCAGGTTCCCACAAAGATCCATGAATGCAATCGAAACTAAAAATGCCAAAAGGCTTGCATTTTGTTTGGTTACTTACGGTTAAGGTTATGGCTGGTTTTGGGTTAAGTTCCTCATGTTGGGAACAGAGTCTTCCCCATCGAAATACATGGACCTGTGTGTGTGTGTGTGTGTGTGTGTGTGTGTGTGTGTGTTCCATGTGATGGACTGCCATCCCTTCCACGGAGTCCCCTGCCTTGTGCCCTGTCTTTCCGGCTCCAGGCGCCCTGTGACCCTGTGCTGAATAAATGGTTGCAGGATTGATGGATGCACATATCTAGTAGATATACTGACAGCAGATTGTTGGATATCTGTGAGTGCTGTATGCAGGGTTATGCATCTCCTTTGTAGATGAATTGTGGGATTCATTCCGCTAACAAGTTCAAAATTGACTTTTTTCCAGTAGATTACAAGATTACCTTCTGTTCTACAGATGTACATGTTCCTGATCATTTTGACTGTGGAACATTTTTTTGAGTTAGACATATTGTTCTGTTCTTAGCTAAAAGCTGTCCGAAATCAGATTGCTGCCTTGTTAATTCCCAAGATTATTCAGGCCACTGTTTTTAACTTGACCATGTTTCTGTCATTTAGCCTTATGTAGCCGCTTGCTTGTCCACATGACTGATTGCAGTGCCACCAATGTATTTGCTGTGTTTTGCCAAAGAATGATCGTTTGCTTATTATTTAGCCAAGCATTATTCGACTTGGCATAACCTGAAAATATTTAGGAAGATTAATAATCAATTTGCAGCTCCTTACTCACCATTTGGACATTGCTTATTCAGGCATTATAATTTTAATTATCTGAGAGGTATTGGGTGAGAATTCTTAATAAGTGTGTCCCTCCCCTACACACAGGCCCATTTGCAATCTTTTCTGAGTGTAATTGATTACTGTTTGTCGAAAAAGATTCTAAGCCCAGTAACTGGAGCTGTTGTATTCATACCGGCCAGGTGGGCGGCTCATCATGTGGGGGAAGGGGCAGGACAGTGAGGGGGTGTCCAGGCTGACACGACATCATAACATCTTTAAACTCTGCCGCTACACAGACAGCGTTGTCTAGGATAATTTCCATGGCTCGTAGCAGACATCAGTTACCGTTAAAGAATGGCGCGAACAAGCAGAAAGGCTGTAAATATGCCATGCCGATAAAGTGAAGTCGACAAGGCAGCAGCGTGACACAGAGTGTGATGAGCAGGCTTTTCTTTTCTGGGCTAAAGCGAGGTTTCCACTGTCAGGGACTTCGCCGTGGATTGCTGGGATTGAATGAGCGGCCTCACAGCACACACCCGTCAGGCTTACCCCACCAGCCGATACAGTCTGCTTGAAATGACAGACAGTCAGCGGTAATTAATAGATGCTTAGGGTGTCATTTGGAAAGCTTCTGCTGTGTAAGTTAAGGAGCTGTCAAAGGCATGATGTGCATAGTGAAAACGCGAGGAGTGAAACCGGACAGAGCCTTGTTTGGTGCCGTGAGGTTTCCTTCTTTCATAAAGTGCCACAGTGCTTGTGTACCACACTGGGTGAGCAACCTTAAAGCCTGTGTGTTTTTTGAGGGTATACGTGAGATCTCCTGCCCCTTGTATCTACAACACTTCTTGCACTTGTTTAACAGTCATTATCTGCTTGCAGATCTCAGGACTTAACTCCAAAGGTCACGTATTTCTGTAAGGGTATTCCTGCATTTGTTTGAAGGAGGTCCACTGTGGCTCTGTGTTGAATTATTCAGGTTATCAGGTGATAAAAAGACCCAATTAAGAGTGCTGGCTTTGAAAACTGCAGAAGTTAGGTGGTTATGTTTCTGATAGTGGAATGCCATCCTCTGAGCATCACGGTTACTCAGCTGGATACTGGCTGAAGGCTGCGACATCAGGGACCCCCCGGGGATCTGCCTTAATGCCGCCATGAGAGCAGGCTTGCAAAATGACTGCCGTTCTCCCCCTGTTTTTTTAACCCTTCTTTTCACTTGGCAAATGCTAAGTGAGCAAATTCTGTACAGACGCTCCTCTATTATGAATGAGTTGTGTTCCAAATGGGCGTTCGTAACTTGAAATGTTCGTAAGTCGTTATTCACCATCATTTTAAGGGTATACGCAAGTACAAAGAACTAGGATGCTGGGAGTTCGCACGCTACTTCTGCTGCGCGGCGGGAGTAGTGGCCTGAGGTCGTACTAGGCGGAATTGGCGCGCAGAAAGAAAAAATTGATGTTGCGGACGGGAAACGGGAGCCCAAGGAACACAATTTGGATTTACAGTCCTCTTCATTCACATATCTGAAAGTTCATAAATTGAAAGTTTGTAAGTAAAGGAGCGTCTGTGTATATGATGCTGTAATGTGAAAGACTGACATCAGTGTTTTGATGTTCAACAGATTGCCCACACCGGCAGGCCTGATGGTTATAGCAACTTTTCCAAAACCAGGCGTTTTGCGTTACCTTTGCTTGAACAATATTTGAAACCATATTTTTGCAAAGATGGAATCCATTAGTAAATAGTTAATCCTGACATTTTAGGAACAGAAATAAAATGGTAATTATAACACTGCATTATCTTACTATGGCGGCAACACTGAGGTGATCCCTGGCTGTCTGAGTTGTTGGACCTTATGTAAAGATCACTATCCTAATGTGAAATGTATCTATATATAAAATAGGCCATATATTCAGAGCATAGACAGATAAAGGCTGACATTAGATCTAGGTATTAAAGGGAGCCGCGTCCTTAAGCCGTGAGTAATGTGTTTCCTACTGATAAGACCTTTTCTCACTGAATAAACATAAGTCCAGCTCATAAGATTTAGATGTCGAATGAGATAAGGAGAGCAGGATAAGTGACATTATTTGTGATTTCCTCTATTCACTTAAATTTCCTTACACGTTAAAACCAGAAGACATTAATAGACCTCATACCTCATGAATATGAATGGAGGCACATACTGTATCACCAAATCACCTGGCCAGTGCAGCCTTTGGCCTCAGGGGGGCAGCACTGAGTGGTTTGAAGAGGCAGGCACCCCAACCAGCTAGGCCAGGGCATGTGTCTCTCCTGTCCTCGTGGTGCTGACAATGTAGTTTGCGGGACCAGCGTCTGCCACCAATTGTGGAGCAGAAGCAGCATCTATGGGTGGGGGGGCGGCCAATCTGTCTGCGGGAGAACCCGAGTGTCCGTGGGCCCACAGGAGCTCTCCTTGCTCCGACCCTGATGGTGGTTGTTCCTGATGGGCCCTGGACCCAGTGGCGTCTGTCTCGGCCCATCTGGACTGCAGCCTGGGAGCGCGTCAGGACGTGGCCTTGTGTCACCGTGGCGACTGGTATGCACCGGCGGTCTCAGTCAGAGCCCAGTGCGACAGCCACGGCCAATGACTTGGCCGCACATCTGGAGCTCCATGCGGCATTGTTTACACTCCCATAGCGAGGTGGCGGGGGGCACCAGTGAGACCGTGGGGCTATTAGGCGTGCGCAGTTCTGCTGCAGGCTTGATGAGACAAAGCTACTCCAAGGCAGAGGATGAATCACGGGCATGCAGATGTGCACAGTGAATAAAGAGCCAGCTTTGTGTCATTTATTAAAGATAGAAGCAGTCTCACAGCATGGAAAGGAGCAGGTGATGCAGAGGGCCAGAAGGGGGGAGGGGGCAGTTACCTCCGTCACACTTACAGAGGGGGACCAGAGGGAACAGTCAGTTTCCGTAACTTTCCCAGAGTGCACTGCTTTGAGGTTTCATTTTGCCGTAACTTCGCAGTTACTCAGGAAGCCAGTGTTTTTAAAAGCTAAACCACATCTCGTGGTCCTTTACCTTAAATACAGTGTGCGCTGCAGTGATGTTCATCAGATCCTGAGGACTGTGATTCAACGCTGTTTTTTTGGCTTGTTTTTTTTTTTTAAAGAGAATCCGCTCAAAGTGCCCGAGCCCAGTGATTAAATACACTGTTATATCACACAAGCTGAACTGGACTCTGTTTTCATTTTTCCCTCAAATACCACTCATGGTATGGTTTCCTGATATTTATGCCCTGGATTAAAGGGTTAGGAGAGGAGTTTGGTGGAGTATTCTGGAGTGTGGTGGAGTATGCTGGAATATGCTGAAGTGTGGAGTTTGGTAAAGATCCATCTTCATGAAGCTTCTTTGCCATGTGTTTAGCATAGCTTTAGCAGGAACTTTCATCCACTTTTGCCCCTTGACATAGATTAATGTAGAGTTTTTATCAGCAATCCTTCCTTTGCCATAGACAATTTCCTTTCATCTAATGACTGTTCTATTTTAAGGATTGACTCATTAATGGAAATGGAGTTGATGAATTGCCTAAGAGGTAGTGATGGATGCTTTTTCTTTTTCGAAAAGTTCTTTGAGGGAAGGGGATACTGTTTCATCAGACCCCCCATCACTTGCTCATTGACTTTTCCAGCCGCACATATTAGTGCCCCAAGGACTAATCACTGAAGTTCATTCATTGTGCCGTTTTCTTGAGTTGCAGGGAAAAATGCGACCTTAGCATTATCTTAATTTAAAAACACCCTGCTGTACAGCTTCTTCTTGATATCCTTGAGAATTTAAGTTCTAATTGGAAGCCCCTATAACAGCACTTGTAATGTAGTTTTAGTCAATTATTGCCTATTAACATTTCCAGCTCATTAATTACTGCTACATGGTAAGTTAAAATTGTATAAACACAAAGTGATTTGACCCTTAACACACTAACACTGTGCATAAGGAAGCTGATCATGGTGAGGTTGAGCACACTGAAGCTGAGAACGGTGACTCTGAGAACACTGAAATTGAGCACGATAAGTTTGAGCACGTTGAAGCTATGCACGGTGACTCTGAGCTCCATGAAGCTGAGCACAGTGACCCCAAACACACTGAAGCTGAAGAGAGTGACTCCGAGCACACTGAAGGTGAGCGGAGTGAATGAGCACGCTGAAGCTGAGCACGGGGACTTGGAGTACACTGAAGCTAAGCAGGGTGAGGGTGAGCACACTGAAGTAGAGCATGCTGACCCTGAGAGTGCTCACCAACCAATGTGCCTGTGGGAAGTTGTGTAAATTACCTTAATGCAATAATTCCACTTGTAAAAGATAGCGGATGTGGGGGGTGGGGGGCATATCTCTCCCCCATATTGCATTTATATGTGTCTGAAATGCCGAATCGAGGAAAATGATAGTTCTGGAAGAGGCGCATCAGAACCCCAGGTTGGCGTAATGGATCCTCGAAATGCTGTAATTAAGATGTGCGGGAGTGTGAAGCCCCGTGCTTTTTTCATTTTTTTCTTTTTTCTTTTTGCAAAAGACAAATATTTCAGTTATTAAAAGGAACATGCTGTTCCCTTAGCAATGAAAATGATTTACGCTGCTCCTTCAGAAAAAAGCAGTAGAATCAAATTGCGCTTTATTGCTCAACAAAGAGGACTTATGCCAGCCTCTGTTTTTTGGAGTGATCCAGAGGCAGTCGGATGCTGCTTCTCCATCATGGGGCAGGACTGTCCCACTGTGATCTGCCCCTAATGAAGCTCTTAAGATCACAAAATGCAGGATGATTTGCTCCTGCACAGAAATCGGCACTGGCACGAGAATCCCATTCTTTCCTTTAATTACTCCTGAGGATGAGGGCAAATGAGTATCGATTCTTATGGAGCGGCAGGGGTCACACTCTGCCACCCGGCCAGAACGTCTCATCGCATTTCCAAATGACCATTTAAGGAAAACAAGATGGAGTGGCCCCTTACAGGGCCTCATTTAGGGTGTGCCGCCTTCAGCCTCACCAGCCTGCCCTAGCCCATGTCACCCCCAGTTTCTACCTTCCTGGATCAGTTGTCAGGTTCTGAGAGGGCTGGAGTCCAAACTGTCGCGTGCTCTCATGGACGGGGAATCCTTCTGGCCCCCGTTCCATGACTGATGGTTTTAATTACCCATTAAGTACACCTGGCCAGGAAGCGGCGCTCAGCGGGTGTGCGTGATGGATTGGATACGAGCTGTGATCAGAGCAGCTGCTGTTTCACTGTGAACAGAGAAGGGCTCCACTTGAGGTCTGTGGTGGAAGGGAGTAGAGTTTTAGTACCCAAACTCATTTGACTTTCTTCTTTTAAAATAGGGCAGATTTCTCTTGTTTTTCTTACCAAAAATTTATGTGCATGCATTAAGGAGACCTTCAAGATTGAGGCAAAGCATTATAATGTGTGATCAGTTGAAAATTTGGTCCGTTTTGAAAAGGGATATGTGACTGCAAATAACTGGTCAGCACATTGGAGTTGGCAGGCCTCAGTGCTGGCAGAGGTGCTAATCCATAGCCAGCCACCATAGCCCACAATCCTTAGTGTATGTCGCCTTCAAGGGAAATTCAGTCTATCAGCTTGAGCTTTCAGGTAATATTAATCACTCTATATTAAAAGAAACACAATCGCCATCTCTCCTCAATGTCAGCTGAAACACCGACTGTTCCCTTCAGTCCTGGTGAGATTGGTTTTTGAGTGTAGCTGTTTCACATTTCTGCATGGGGATATTAAAGTCCCCCTTGAAAAGTTACACTCTGGATTTTGGGAAGTTACAGGAGCATAAATGGGAGCTTTGTGAGGACAAAAAAGCCACAACCCAAATTAGAAAAGGACACTCTTAGATAAAGCTACCAGATCTCCACCTACCCTTTCACACAAGGACCCTTGGAGCCTGAACAGGATCTTGCTTGGGATCTGGGCTGTGCTGCCAGTGCTCTGCATCTTACACACTGGATATTTGATATATGCGAAATATGAATCTGGAACCCCATAGCTGCTGTGTAATTGTATTTTTAAAATAATGAGCATCTTGGGATGGGCCCAAATCACAAGACTCTATAATGTCTATCTTTCTGTCTGTCTGTCTGCCTGCCTGTCTGTCTCCTTGTATGTCTGTCTGTCTGTCTGTCTACCTGCCTGACTGTCTGCCTGCCTGCAATACAAGAATTAAAAATTTCTCTGTGTGCATATGAGTGTATCATACATAATACATCATACATTCTGGGTGTGACATTGTGTATTTCAAAAATTCAATTATTGCCTGTCTGTCTGTCTGTCTGCCTGTCTGTCTGCCTGCCTGCCTGCAATACAAGAATTTAAAATTTCTCTGAGTGCATATGAGTGTGCACACCTTATAGTATTGGTGTATCATACATAATATATCATACATTCTGGGTGTGACATTGTGTATTTCAATTATTAGAGAGTCTTCTCATGTAGTATTTTACATTTTGAGTGAGGACCTTTCAAAGCTTTGTTGGCTGGAGGAATTATGTAGGCCTGATTCTACTGCTATTTCACCATATTTCAAAAAGCACTTATACAGGTAGTGAATAGGCACAGCAGTAAATCACATGATAAATGGCCCATTGAACAAACTACTACAACAACGTTTAGCTGCTGAGCTGATGTTTTCATCCAAAGCAGCTTAGTCTGCTCTCTTACACAGCTGGGTACCTCAGAAGAGCCATTTAGGCTGAACACCTTGCACAAGTATGCTACCGTAAGGCTGCACTCGAACCAGCAGCCTTTGGGTCACAGGGTTGGCATTTAACCGCTACACTGTCCAATGCCATTTGGTGCTGTGGTGCTTTGTGGTGTCTTAGGATTGTAGCTTACATGATCCCCTGAATATGAAGGAAGAAGCTTAGATCTGGATTGATCAGGATCATATCAGACTATGTTCGAAAACAGAAGAAAAAAAAAAAACATCTTAAATCAGTCCGAGTAGTTTAATCAAAGAGGGGTTAATGAGCAGGTATGATAAGGAAACCCCACACGTCATGTTAGTGGCCATGCTAGTATCACCGTAGATAGTGAAATTGGGGTTCAGTGTGCATTGACGTTCTGTCGGGTCTCTGAACCAGTCATTTTTCACTCTGTGCCCAGAACAATTTTGTATAAAACTCCCATGAGCATGTTGGGCTTAGTTTTAAATTTTTGGTATAGCTGGATTGCCCATTATTTGAAAATGCTTAATAGGCTCAAAATGAAACATTTAGAGAAAGATGGCGGCTTTGTTTTTCATGTCTGGCTTTTATTTTGTGCCAGCGGCTTTTTAGGTAGCTAAAGGCTGCATCTATTTCCTTACTGACTGCTGCTCAGGGCTGATCTTGCTTCAAGCGCAAAGTTACCAGCTTTGGCTCATTTTGGGCATGAATTCCCAGCACCCTAATAAAGAGTGATTGGTATGAAATGCGGAAAATCACAGCACTGTAGCTGCTCTTGATAATGAGGGGGTGTCCTCCCATATCTCTCAGGGGAGCTGAACCTACAACACTTTGCCTGAATTTCTGTCTTTTTTATCTTTTATGGTATATTGCTCTTCTAATGCAGCATAAATGTAACAGCGTTGGTGGACAAACACTGAAGTTTAAAGGCAAAGGCTGAAGTGGTGTTTTAACACATGAATGATCCTCAGAGCAGCTTTTCGTGCTGCTTACATTGTATCGTATGGGTTTGCACTTCATTTAGCACTTACCTGACTGAACTGATTTTTTTTAAGGAGTTAATGGAAACCTTAAGGGGACAAAAGCTAATTGAAAATTGCATGCAGGTCAAGCACGCTTAACGAGTTTACGTTACTTCACTTTAGCTAGTGCTTATGAATTTCAGAATGGTTGATTGCCAGGTCCACAACGTCTGCCTAGTAACGGCCAGCTTCTTTTTATCTAATCGGATGTCGTACACCCTTGTCGAGCGGTGGGCGAAGAGAGGGAAAGTTACTGTCCAGAATTGTTGCAAAGTTTCTCAAGAAGAACCTAGATATAAGAAGCAGGGTCCAGGGTCCATGGTCAAACAACAAATATGGATACTCCTACCTACTGGTGTTATGGTCCCAAAATACTCTGGGCAAATACTCCAGTGGTTTGTTTTCAGACTTAACGTGGCAAAGAGATTTTTGTGAAGAGAAAAAAACAGTAAGGCTTTAACATTTAAGGACTTATCTGCCTTACTAACAAAGTACCACAGAATTAGAAGTAATAATTACATAATATTATATAACATTTAGAAGTTTACCTTCAATGAACAGACTGTTTGGTACTACAGCATGAGCCCTCAGGGGATGGATGCCTGGTGTCCCTTGGCAGTAACAGCCACATCCTGCTGTCTGTGAGAGCAGCTTGGCTCTGCCCATTCAGCGCACACGCTCCATCAGACCAGGTCCCGCTTTGCTTGTTTACCTCTCCAGTCACTGGGTGTTCCCCCCTCCGCGGCCTTTGAAGGCTCCAGCTTCCCCGGCCAGCCAGCCTGCAGGTCGCCCGTAGCACAGAGGGAATTCATCGCCGGTATTGTCTGTAGCCGGTGCCACATGCTCGCGGTCAGCCTCCTTCCGCATTTCCACACCAGCTTATCAGCAACTCGCCAGCCGGTTCTCTCTCCCAGCATGAGCCGAGAACCTGAGCCGGTGGACTCGCCAGACGCCGGCGTGGGGGGCAGGACCTTGAGATGGCAGAATAACCTGCACGCTGGGGGGGAAGGCAGGGAACGGACAGGGGTGTGAAGTTTTAAGGTGTGCGGCGTCGCGGCAGCAATCTCCCCCGGAGCATCGACACCCTGGAATCGATAACACCGGCCTGTTCTGTTTGCAATTATAAACCTAATGAGACATTAATTAGCAGGACAGAAGTTGTTATTGCTCCTTGGCTGCTTTAGTGGGCTCCGGGTGAATATTTAGAAGAAAAAATTCAATCAGTACTGGTAATACAAATTTAATCTTCTCTGTTAAATATTTGTTCTTTCTCTGCTATGAATAATAACATGGAGGCTGGCCTGATATTGAATTTTGGTACTAAGAAATGAAAAACTTGAAAATGAAAAGCATCAGTGTCATTCTCCATTATAAACCATTCCATACATTTTAAGCATGAATGCAAAATATGTGTGTGCGTCATGTTGTCTGTAACCAATAACCCGTACCTGTTTAATTCCTGAAATGGGATTTGGTTGATTGAAACATTAATCATTTAACAATTTAATCGTTCAAAACTCAGACACCCTAGCAGCTATCCCACGGTAATTCATCAGCAGCATCTTGCTGATTTTCTTTAGGTGTTTGTGCTGTTTGTGTTTTCAGTGTCACGTCAAAATCATACAATTTGAGAACTGCCCTGTCTGAATGACTTAACTGAAGCAGGTTTATGATGATGGGCACACGGAACCCGGGTTAAATTGGGCTTGACAGCATATGCTAGAGGTGCCAGTCTTCTGCCAGTCTTCTGCCTTGCTGGACGCGGCACTTTGAGGGCTCTCACCTGCCAGGCTGTCTGCATAACAGGCAGCAGATCTTGTTAAAGGGTCGGCGCTGTGTTTAGCCGGTTCTGAGCTTGGCGTTACCAGGGCCCTCATTAACACGTGCTAATGAGCCCGGGCAAGCGGCAGACGGGTGCGAGAGCGGGCCGGCACTGCGACCTTGGGGCTCATCTATACCCTGCCTTGCAGGTCCCCTGCTGATAGGCATGGTGAGGAAGGATTGGGCTTCTCAGAACAGTATCGCCCTCTCCTGGCAGGAGCCAGAACAGCCCAATTTGACTGTGTTGGACTATGAAGTCAAGTACTACGAAAAGGTACAGTAGCTGCTTTTTCATATTTAATAGACAGTTTAAAATTGTAACCATAACAGTTTGTAGTTAAATATGTTAAGGACACAACCAGTGGAGTCATTAAATGCAATGTTATAACGAAGCTCATCCTTTAAGAATATTTCCTCATCCAGTCAGAATGCCTAACAGCCAATGAGATTTTGAAACAAAGATGGGAAAGCAGCAAAGATGGGTGATTGTTCCACATAACACCTGTGCTTCGTACGGGGATGGAACAGGAGATGTTACACCTAATTGCATCACAGTTTGTGCTTCTCTGATAAGGCAGCTAAGCAACATCACGTTCAGTGAAATATAAGCAGGTGCCCCCAGGGGACACCAGTCTCTGTGTGACCGTCACTCGCACTCTGGCACCCCCTGCAGGAGCATGAGCAGCTCACCTACTCCTCGACCCGCACCAAAGTCCCCAGCGTTATCATCATGGGGCTGCGGCCCTCCACCTGCTACATCTTCCACATCCGGGCGCGCACCTCCACCGGCTACAGCGGCTACAGCCCCGAGTTCGAGTACGAGACAGGAGACGAGAGTGAGGCTCTGCCGCCTGCTGCTGGGGGGCCCTCTCTGGGGGCCTCTCCTCTCCACCATGCCTCCACCTACACCTCTGAAGCTCTTACATCTTCTTTTGATGTTGTGGGTTTGTTATGGGCCAAGGCGAGCTTGGCTACAATGAAGACCGAGAGATTCTCCTTATTTTTCACTCCTCCCATAGCCATGTGACATCCTGCAGGTCTCCAGACCTCGTTAGTTCACCCCAGTCCAGCTATTTACGGCTGTAAAGAATGTGGAAATTCCTGGGTGGGCCACAGTTTCTGTGAAGCCGGCCCTCCATTCATCACGGGTCGGCTTCTTTTCATCAGAAGCAGCGCAATCATTTCATTCCAGAACCTGTTGGGGAAATGTAAGCAAATTCATTGAGTTTCTTGACATCCATCTGCGACATGACCCTACATTTTCATTTCAAATTGATCTTCATTATTTGTTAACACAAAAGGCAGATATCAACAATTGCATTTCAATTATCATTGATTAAGGAGCCTTGATAACCTCCTAATAAATGGGGAATCCTGAATATCGAATTGCTTCCATTCAAGGCAATCAAATTGCAATTTTATGAGATGAATAAAACCAATTGAACAGGAGAAAACCACATGCAGGGTTTAACCTTCAAAATATGATAATATGCAATTTAGTATATTTTTGATCTCATAAAAGTTTGACCGTGGTTGAAGCCCTTTGTCTTTACTTTTTGAATCTTCACAGTGGTGATTGCTTCCTGACTGGCCAAGCTTGCAGTTCGCTCACCTTTCCATCCAAAAGGCATTATTGGGCTGACATGTCTGAGCTGATAGGATATCGGATGTGGACTATTTGCATTCATGTGCCCGTCCTACCACTGCCAGCAGGGGGCATGCTGCCCTTAATATGCAATTGAAACAGGGGTGAATCTAGGATCTAGGTGGGGGTCATAAGAGGGGCCATAATTCATATAGAGGGGCACTCCAGGGACCAATCAGGTTTAAGTTCCTGTAGTCCCGCCCCTGGATTAAAATGTGTTCAAAACATCCTCTTAGCCACTGCAGGACAACATGGCCACATGACCGGCTGTCCCCGAGCATCCGTGGAAGCTGAAGGTTTCTGTGCCCAAGTCTGTGCTGTCTGTGCCCTCCAGCTTCGGACATGGAGGCGGATCAAGGCCAGGTTCTGGTCATCGTCACGGCAGCGGTGGGCGGCTTCACCTTGCTGGTCATCTTGACCCTGTTCTTCCTCATCACAGGACGGTAAGAGAGGCCCCTTCCATTTCCCAGATGACACATGCTGTGTTTATATACGTACAGTAGCAGTCGGGACCTCCTCACTGTTACCACGAGGCACCTTCACTGTGGAGGAGGAACAGGGCTTTGCGCTCTCAGCAATGAAAAATGCATTTTATAATAGGCACATCTAAATATATCACTGCTACAAAGCAGCATTAACCTAGCTCGCCGTATTCTCAGGAATAAAAGTCCTTTTTAAAGTTGTATAACACAACCTTGTACTGACATTGTCCACTTGAAAGTGACTCGGTGGTGACTGTTAATCCTCTGTTGGGAGACGACGTTCTGACTTTAGAGTGCTGGAGAGCGATCGTTTTCACATGGGGTCACGTGACTCTGTTCTCCATATGCCTATATATTAAAGGGAGCCCCCCCGGTGTCCCACTGGGATCACTTCTGCTTTTGGCTGCGGTGGTGAACAGAATTTCATGGTGTGATTGGGTCCTGAGGTGGACAGTCTGAGATGTAGCCTCATCTGCTCAGTCCTCCACAGAGACTTGGTGGGGCTGTACCTCAGTACTGACCAGAGGTCAGTCACCTCTGGCTGTCTGACAGCTATCGCTGCACTTGTCTTTAAATCTAATTCAATTTGGCCCGTTGAGGAAGCTGACCAAAGTTGGCAACCCTGCTGTTTATGTACACGTTTGTCTCTATGGCGATGCTCAAGTCCTGGGTTAATGTTGGCATTCCTGGCTTATTCTGAGCAAAAGACAGCACAGTCTAAACTACTGACAGTTTAAATCAATAAATGCCCATTATTCAAACTAGGAAAAACCAGGAAACACTGGAAAGATGTACTCCACGCTGTCCAAATCAATGTAGTAAGATGTCTGGCTTAGATTTCCATGGTTTTCAGAAAGGGTTTCAGTTATGTTGCTATGCAGGCGTTGTTTTCCACACAAGCAGGAAAGACAGGGGAAAACTCTGGCTGAGTTTGGATGTCAGGAAAGCTGTAGCTTGCTGGTGACTGTCCACAGACGGCAACATCACACGCAGGGAAGATTACTCCCCTTGGCGTGCAGGTAGCTGTCAGGGGAGGGGGGGGGGGTGTCACCAACACACTGCTCGGTATAAGAAGTAGCCCACCGGGAATCAATCAGTGCATTATTAATTTTCCGTCACCACCCCCTGGTCAGCAGCTTTTACCATGTTGTATCAAACTCGTATCTCTCCAGATTATTATTTTTTTATAAAATAAGGTTACACACATTATCACTCTTAACTTTGAGTTAGCACTGGGAACAACGAGAACAACGTTTTAGTAATGTTACTGAAACAGTCCTTGTCATAGGGAGGCTGTAACCCCAGTGTTCTGCTGGAATCTTTTTGCCTATGTAGTTATAGTAAAATGTTTTAAACTTTGATTGTGTTGCTCCCGATGGATGACGTGTGGGATGCGATCGTGGCTGAGGCATCTTATTAAAGGATCCCCGAGTCATGTGACCTTGCGAGCAGTGTGGCCCTGTCGCCTTGGCCGTGTGCTGAACGGGCTGTCAGTGGCGATGCCCCTAATGGGATTAGTCTATTTGTCATGGAAACAGCAGTTTTATTCAGCAAACCGCGTGTCAAATGATCCTTTTGAAACGGCGCCCAACACGTCTTCCCCGGCTTATTACCGCGACCCGGGTATTAGTGGCCGTGTGAGCTGCCTTAACAGCGTTGATAATCTGTTATAATCTCTTCTACAGCGGGTTTTTCCGTGTTCAAGCTGTGATTGTTTTAGCTTCAAGTACCTCAGGCTCCAAGCTTTGAGAGTCTCAGTGCAGAAATTAATGGCGTCAGAATCCCTGCTTTTCACACCCCAGTCCTCAGCCTGTGGATTTAACAAACAGGGTCCTCGCAGTATTTCAACTCTAATCTGTCCCCCTTCAGCCAGGGTGCTGTGTGCAGATGCCATTTTTCCCCATCTCACACGATCTGCAATCAGCATCCATCTCCCCTTCCCACCCACAGATGGTGAAATTACTGCTCTGATGCCTGCTTAGGTGTATGTATGGCACCCAGCTCTACATGAACATGATTAGAGATGATCCTCGGGGCGTCGGACACCGCCCTGGGGTCTGGAGGGGGGTGCTTGCGTGTTGGCTAAAACTGCTCAGGACGTACTGCGGAGGCCTCCATGGCTCAAACCCCGCCCTGGCAGAAATCCACACCTGTGCTTCTGTCTGTCACCACGGCAACACTAGAGGATAAACAGGCTACAGCCTGGGAGCCCTTCCCATCATGCCACAGTGATGCCACAGAGTTCATTTGAATTGAGCAAAAAATGGTATGTGGAGGTGTTCAGTCGCTTGCTTGTTTAGTGAGTAGCTCAGCCCACTCGGTTCATGAGTTAATAAAAGCCGGTGTGCCTGTGGCCAAGGACGGAAGCTTGCAGACATCTGTAGACGCCCCTGGCGCATGCTGATGCACTGCCTGGCTCAGCCCCACGCCCCCACACACACAGGAGCCCCCCCCTCATTACGTGTCTGTGAAGGCTGTCGCCTGCATTCACGAGGCCCTCTCCATCACTGCTTTGGCCTCCCAAATAACTGCAAGGGCAGAAAGAGAAAATCTGGGCTCCCTAACAAAATGTCACCTTGCCCCCCCCCACCCCCCAACCTGGCCAATTTTACATATAATTTTGTGTATTCAAAAGAACTGCTGTAAAGAAGTGGGCCCCGGGAATCTGCCAGGGTATCTGCGCCCCCACTGCGTCCTTGCCAAAGGTCCACTGGCTCGGGATGGCAGACTTGAGGAGCAGGGGTCCGGAGCTGCACACAAGCGTCTCCGTTACTAGCTGTTCGTTATGCTGTCTGACTGTGGGCTCGTCGACATGCAAACAGCTGCGTGGTGGATGTTCACCCACTCTGTCCTCCACTGACACGTTAAAAGGAGGTCGTCCAGACTCACGCCGACAGTTTAATGTATCTCTAACACGGCACTGAGCGCGGAGGCAGAGCGAGGGACTCGCAGCACCTCCGATATCATATTTACGTGCGCGGGTGTGGAAGGGCTCCCCTCGTCTCTCCATCATCAGTGAAAATAGCACAGCTTCTCTCCTGCATGAAGGGTAAAGACACCACAGCTGTGCCTGTTTCGGGTGGGGGAGGGGGGGTGGTATGCAGCTGTTCTGTCAGTCAACAGCCTGGTAAACCTGTCTGTCAAATGTCCCATTTTTTGCAGCAGGATCCTTTAATGCCAAACTATTTTCAAGAAAGAGGCAGAGCCGGGGAATCCATGGAACATGTTAGCACCTGTGTCTCCGATGGGTGCCGCGTTCATTTATATCGACAGCCGAGTCTGCGGCTTACTTATTATCCAGCCAGGGTGATGCGTTAACTAGCAGCTCTGTTTGACAGTTCACAAAAATTCTGTCACCATGGTAACATTGTGGGGATCTTTGTGCACCAGGCACACGATTCTTTATGTATAAGCATAAATGGGGAAGAGATGCGGGGTCACTTAAGGGACAAATGAATTCTTTGGCTTCAGTCCCCTTGAGTGGCACGAGATATCAGTCAGATAGTGATGGGCTAAATTATCAGCAATTAGCTGGAGAAACACGTGACATCGATAAACCAACCTGAGCTGGCTGTCCGAAGCAGAGAATAAAAAAGATGTCTGCCCAGTGCCTTACAGGTTTCAGTGCAATCTTTACGTAAATTGTAATTATATCCAGTAGCAATTAAGGGAAATGAGTTTGCTGCTAGGTAAGGCGGGAATGCTAATCAATAAGCTCAAGGAAGCAGTGGCAGAGTTTGATGTGGAACGCAGTGTGTGAACGTGTTGAGCACAGCCTGTTATTAGCTATGCCCATCTGGTTAGGAAGTGTATGGAAGAGAAATCCCGCCAGCAACCTCTCAAGTGTGAAACAAGATGGTAAAGTTTCTCCGTCACCAAGTGCACTCCTGCCAAAGACAACTTTTCCCTTTTTTTCTCACTTCACAAACCTAAAAATATGCATCTTAGCTATGAATAAAATGCATTGTTAATTTTTAGGGCAGCAACATTGGGTGTTTAAAATGGATATGATATCCCAATTTAATTTTTTGGGTGGGGATTTTCAGTACATCTCCAGGCAACTAATCAAATTTACTGAAACTGGTCCAGGTGCAATCCTGCCGAGAAGACTCAGCCGAAGTGAATGTAGCAACGTTTATGCCAACGTTACCATTTCATCTCCCACCTTACTTCACATGAACGTCACCTGCAGAAGTGTTGCTCCTTCTATGAATATCGACTTTTCCGTTCTTCTTACAGGTTCACGTGATACCAATTTAAATTACGATTCATCAAACTGTTGATTGAATGAATCACACAAAAACACGTTGAACTGAAGGTGCTACTCATTTTTATTTCATGGTTGTATGAGACTAGATCGTTGGTAGAAGTAATAATGGTGATGGAAACAAGTACATGTTTCTATATACATTTTTTGAAAAGATCAGCATTTGTTCAGTTTTATTTAGGTGTTACCAGAAATAAAATGAGAACATAAATATTATTAGCACATACGTAATATTTAGAATTTCTATTTTTTGTTTCATCCGATTAAAAAATGTAGCTCAGCTAATGCAATTTAAATGTACAATGCATTTAATGAACATCCCAATCATATCTCATTTAATAATCACTGAAAAGTAGCATTCAAGGTAGGTTGCAAAGATTTGAATTAAAAAAGCTAATTTGTATTAAGTAGATTTTATTCTTAGATGTAAATAAGTATGCTAGTAAACAGTAATCTGTAAATCCAGCTCTACAATTAGTCGTGTATGTGTATTATATTATATTACATTTATTTAGAAACTTCTATCCAAAGTGATGTACAATTGGAAAAGTAAGGTCAGCCAGTCCGTGGAGCTCTCAGGGGTTGGGGGCACCGCTCAGGGGCCCAGTGGTCACATCACTTTGTGGGATTTGAACAGGCAACCTTTCAACCAAGGGCACAGAATCCTAACCTGCTGAGCCCCACTGCCCCCCCAGCCACCAAATTGCCCCATACGTAGAGGAAGCTGAAATAATATCACTGCAGAGCAGCTGGATGTAGCGACTGTGAGAGAGCGCAGACATCAGCAGCCCCCCCTCCCGCCAGCCTACAGCAAATCATGTGACGTCATGGGAGGGGCCACGGGGAAGGCATGGAAAGTGCAGGTTAATGAGCAGCATGGTACAGCCCCAAGCCGCACATCTGCACGCCACAGAAGGTGCGGCGGTCAGGTCAGCTGGACGCGGGACCCCTTTTCCGGTGCCGGAGTTCCCGGTGTGACCGCCTCTTCGTCACCCCCTGCTGGCTCTAGCTTCACCGCTCCACAGAGTGTTTAGGGCAGTGACAACGGAGGTGTCTCCAGCCCTCTTGAGTTCACACCACTTTAGAGAGATTTGTCAAGTTATTTTGAGGAGATCTGATGTTCAATTTCTGAAGGCGTTAAGGGCAGGGCTGAGGATAGACTGGGAGCCGGGGTGAGCTTTACAGCTCAGCGGCACGGCCGGCTGAAGGATGGAATGATGAGGTGAATTCCATTAAGGGCTTTGCCTGCCTGTAATCCCTGACCTCTGGCTGCACAAGACTTTGATCCACAGATGAAATGTGCGAGATGGGGAAAGGCAGTCTTGTGTCACTGTCATTTGTTTCTGTATGGCAGCAGCGCCTTTTTCAGGGGTGGGATTAAAATTGCAGTTTGCATCTCTGACCTGTTTTTGTGCTCCTTCTGTGGTCTTAGGTGTCAGTGGTACATAAAGGCAAAGATGAAGTCTGATGAGAAGAGGAGGAGCCCCTATCAGAACGGGCATGGTAAGAGCAATCTGTTCACAGTGCTGTGTGCCGTCTCCACATCCTCCTGTTTTCTCTGTGCTTAGACCCAATGAACTGCTGAGGTGTGGGGGGCTTATGTTTCTCCAGAATTCAGATGTGTTAATTACTGGGTATTCTATAAAGCAGTTTTTTCCAGTCCGGTCCTCCAGGACGCACAGACAATCCACGTTTTTGCTCCTACCTGGAGCTGGGAGAGAGCAAAAACGTGAACTGTCTGTGGGTCCCCAAGACCAGGTTGGGAAGGACTGCTATAAAGGGTCCTGCATGTTCACACTTACAGGGCAGAGCAACCCTGCCACAACCCCCCCCCACGGCAATCATTTTCTTTCCAGTTTTATTCAATTTATTTCCCTATTAGTAAACACAGTTGTCCCAAAGCCTTGACAAAGATTTAACAGGACCTGC